TCCTGAATTTTGTGAATTTTTTTTGGCGGGAAAATTTTGACGGAATTTTTTTCTACTGGAAAATGTTGAAAAAAATTTAGCGGGAAAATTTTGATAAAAAAATTTTGGCGGGAAAATATATTTACGTTATGGAAAATTTTTGGCGGGAAATTTCCAATTTTATTTATTTATTTATTTTAATTCAACAAATTATTCATATTTAATATTTATTTAAATTTTATAGTGTTATTTGTGGAACTTTTCAAATGTAGTGCTACTTTTGGAAGAAAAACTTTATTTAGTGCTATTTTTGTCAATCTCCCAAAAAAAACGTGAATATCATAATTTGTCCAATTTAATGGTATTGATGTTAAACTCACCAAATACTGAAAAATTATAGTATTAAAATAATTTTTTTGTCATCAAAATAACAAACTAATTATCTATACTATTAATTGGGAATCACTAAATAATAAAAAACCTTTTAGTTGTAGAATATTACATAGAATGCCATTGATTTTTTAAAAATTTGAAGAAAGAAAAAAAAAACATTTTTTAAATAATCGAAAATAAATCAATAAAATAATAACTGCCCAATATTTTTGGAAATAGTTTAAAGAAGATTCTATAATAAATCAAGTTATTTAATTCGAAATTGTATATTATTTTGGTAATATATTATTAGATATTTCCGGTAATCTAATTTAATATAACAAATTATCATTTAATTTAGATTTTAATTCATTTCCTTAACAAAACTATGCTAATTAATTCTGATTAGTAGTACACATGAAAAAAAATGATTTTAATATTTTATTTTCCAAATATGAAAAAATATTTAGCATATTTGTCATATATAATCTAAACTAAATACTTTCATCCTTTAAAATATAACCTATTCAACAAATAATTTTGGATTTTAGATTCTAAATATCTAGATAATATTTCAGTATAAATTCAATTATTTGACATATTAATTAGAATTTAAATGATATAAATTTTGAAATATATTTTTTAGAAATGGGTAGTTTTCATTATTTAAAATATATATCACTAAAATAAATTTGAATTATATAAAAATATATCAAATTATTTTATTTAAAGCCAAATAAATAATATATCAAATCAAGTAAATTATTTTATTAGGTCTCAAATTGTTACAAGCTTTTGGAATATATATTCTTTTAAGTTTGATTATTTTATTTTTTCAAAAAACATTAAAATATAATTTAAATATCAATGTTTAAATTTGCAATGCAAATACTTTAAAATGAGAAAATATTCATTCACACCAATATTCTTATTTTTCTATTAAATTTGAATAGCGTCTTTTCTACTAACAAACATTAATAGAATTTTTTTAACAGCTCATTAGTTGTATTTGAACAATCATAATCACCATATTTGCGATAATGCATAAGGATCATAGGAATTTTTAGAATTTTTTTTAATATTTTTGTCATCATAAATTTAAAATATGCAATTAAGATTAATATTTTTTGTCATCATCCACAAAATTAAACCTAATTTCATGTACAATCTATTTCCTATAAATATTATGCATACATCCACGTCGTTGATTATCTCACAATTAATCTAAGATTGTGTTATAAATACTATATAAAATAAATTTGTTTACATCAATCTAACCTATATTATATTTTCATCTAATAAGATTTTTTCTTTCTAATTTATTCTTCAATTTCAAACTCTAAAATTTAACCTATGGTTCACAATATTAGTTATTCTGTCATAAACATTATAAATAGCATTTTACAATTTTCTGTGTACATTATAATATATATACAACAATATATATCACTAAACAACAAAATATTCTATATTTACCAAAAGTTTATTACAGTACATTTTCTTAAAATAAGAAACCCTGCACGTATGTGCGGGTCCTGATCTAGTTCTCTATTTAAGATGGGAGAATTTTCCAAGATGCAAGGTTGATGTTAAATTCACTAACAACTTCTACTCTTTGTTAAGAGGGGTTTAATCGCCAAAACCAGAAAATAAATATTTATAAACGACAAAATTTAATATCATAGTTTGTCGTTGCTTTAAAATTAATTTGTGTGGGATAAATGCTCTCAAAATTTAATATCATAGTTTGTCGTTGCTTTAAAATTTTATATATATATATATATAATTATATATGTATTTTTATAAAAATATATTCACCGTATATACTCCGTATATACAACCGTATATACAGTTAGGCGCTATACGGTGATCTACCGTCCGACTACCGCGCGCCTAGCATATTTTAGAACATTGCGAAAACTAACTTATTTGTCACATTATTTTAAATTTATCCTTAGAAAATTTTAATTAATATATTAATATGCTAAATTTGTCTCTAAAAATGTATTGTTTTCATGTTAAATTGTTATCTTTTAACTATCGTCACTATCCAGCGTTTTTGTATACCAATAGAAAAAATATTTATAACACTGTTTAAAATCTGATCCACTAATCGAACATTCGAACTCTTTAGTTTTTCCAATATCGTCAGTTGGAATCCTAAGAAGTTAATTAGTAATAATTTTTAGGGATTATTGTCTAAAATGCCATTTTTTTTGGGAAAACTTACGAAAATGCCATTTTTTGAATAGTTTACGGATTTTGCCATTTTTAACACTTATAAATGTATGTATTTATGATTTTTTTTTGCAAAAATACGTACTTTATACCAAATACTAAACCCTAAGAACAAATGGAACCGACTAAACCCAAACATAACGAGTGAAACGCATGTTAAATCATATTTTTGGAACCTGAAAAATGGCAAAATCCACAAACTATTCAAAAAAATGGCAAAATCCACAAATGCCATTATGAAAAATGGCAAAATCCGTAATTAATTCTAATTTTTAAGTAAAATCTTCTGATATCCAAATAGCAGAAGAGACCAAAAAGAAACAGCAATGAAGTTGAAAACTTTTAGGACCGGAATACCGGATCAATGTGGAACATGCAAATACAGAGGATCCACGTTATAAATCAACATCACAATCACTGTCGCAGGTTAATAACGTTTTCACTGTTATTTTTTCATAAACGATCCTTTCGTTAATCTTCTTTATTTAGTCATTTCATTTTTCGAATTTGAATCATAGATTGGTGATTGGTGGGGATTAACATTTCGTGCGAATATCTTACGTACAGGAATTCACATGTAATCATGTGGCTTAATTATCTCAGCTATAGAATTACAAACATACACATACACACACACAATCGTGGATCTACTGTAAATTTACGGCTAAAAATATTATAGATTTTGGAAGGAAATTACAAAGATTACTATAAAATAACATTATATTACTATTAAAAATTAAGAGACAGATGGGGTTAGTGCAATGGGAGACGAACATGGCGTCAATGAGAGAGCATGTGATTTATAATATTAGTGCTTTGTCACTTTCTCACGTAACCTTTTATGCCCTACCAATTACTTCTCCTCTACTAGTATTTTTTATATGAAACCATAATAAATTTTAGAAAAATGCAACATTGATAGCATATATACGTATAGTTTTCTAACTCTGTGACAAGTTGATGATTTTCCTTTCTCAGCACAAGGCTATTTGAGTATATATATAAATATCTACGTTCCTCTTCATATTTATTAACTCTGAAATGATATTTTATCAAAAAAAAAAAAAAGCTCTAAAACAATAGATATTAGTATATTACATATGTACGACCTAAAAAATAAGAGAACGGTCTTTTTCTTGATAGAGTTCGTGCTCCCAAATCATTCGAGCATTTTCGACCACGTGTCTCCACCTCAAACGGATCTTATGATATGTTTTATTATCATTTTATTTTCATTCTTATATACTTCTACTGTTTTTTTATATTTGATGTTTTAAGTTTCTAATTTTCTTTTTAAATAGATGATGTTTTCAATTTTCAATGCAAAATTAATTACTTTTTATTAGTTTTGACTATTTAGATTCCGTAGATTGTTTTTTCATTGGTTAATTAGATAATAAATGATGTTTTAGTTTGAAATAAACAAAAATTAAATGATTTCTAAATCCATGTGCATTCTCTTAAAACATCACTTACTGTATAAAAGAACGGAGGGAGTAGTTTGTTGATTTTTTCCCTGCATAAGAAATAACAATCATTTATTTCATTTGTACAAGCAGTCAAGTAGATGTCCTGTAAAGTTAGAACCAGTGAGTTTTCAATTGAACTTTATCATGATTCATGTTTTAAATGAATCCACTTTATGAAAAATATGGTGTTAATTTAGATCATACTTCATAGTGGTTGGTGGGTCATCATTATAAAAATAAGTTTATACGTATTAGGTTCTTAAATATTTATATCCATAAGCTGATTAAAAACTAAGTAAAACGAAGATCCTTATCCTCCTGACTTTGTTATCAGAAATCTTGGTGGATTGACAGGTCAAACTTTGTTCTTTACAGAATAAATATCTTATAAAAAGACAGAAAAATACTTCACTGTAATCTCATGTTTTATGAAGTTTATATATTCTCATTAAGAATTATGTTTAAACATTTTAGAACAGTGAACAACAGAAGAGCTAATTATAAGACTAAATTCTGGAACAATAGATGGGCCACTTTTTGGGCTTCCTTAAGTGTTGAGGTATTGATTGAGCTTTTATAATGATTTATTTTATCTGTAGGTGTAAATAAATTGGGAAAAAATTGATCTTCAAATTATCCAAATTCAGCAACTCTATATATGTTGGCTCAGTATGGGCTTGTTTAGGAGCCTAATCATACTTATCATCCAGAGGCCTCCCTTAAATGATTACCTCTGACCGAGGCAGAGGGTTCTGCTTCTGCAGAGAACTAATAAACCATATACAATTAGTACTTGGAGTCAAAGTAACCTCATGGAAAGACAAAACTAAGCTTAAAGACACAGACTTTACACAAGATTCAGATTCAGACTACTTTACTCTAAAGCAAAAAGAGCGACCTCTATCCAATCCCCAGCCTATATAAACACGCCCTTCTCTTCTATTTTCTCTATCAACTAACAAAAGAAAAACAAACTTACTCAAATGGCTCTCTCTTCACCTTCAAGAATCCTCTGTTTTCCTCTTGCCTTATCCGCTGCAACTCTCTCCCTCTCTGTCGCTGCTTCCCACGATTACTCCATCGTTGGATATTCCCCCGAGGATTTAGAATCTCATGACAAACTCATAGAACTCTTTGAAAACTGGATCTCCAATTTTGAGAAAGCTTATGAAACCGTTGAAGAGAAGTTGCTTAGGTTCGAAGTTTTCAAGGACAATCTGAAACACATCGATGAGACTAACAAGAAAGTGAAAAGCTACTGGCTCGGGCTCAACGAGTTTGCGGATTTGAGCCACGAAGAGTTCAAGAAAATGTATTTAGGACTCAAGACTGATATAGTGAGACGAGACGAAGAAAGATCTTACGCGGAGTTCGCTTATAGGGACGTTGAAGCTGTGCCTAAGTCTGTTGACTGGAGAAAGAAAGGAGCAGTGGCTGAAGTTAAGAACCAGGGCTCTTGTGGTAATATGAAATCTTGGTCTCTGTCTCTCTGATGTGTTAATGAAAGTTTTGACTCGTAACTTAAGCGTTCAATTTTTTTAAAAATTGTTTCGCAGGAAGTTGTTGGGCGTTTTCGACAGTGGCAGCAGTGGAAGGTATAAACAAGATTGTGACAGGAAACTTGACAACATTGTCCGAACAAGAACTCATAGACTGTGACACGACCTACAACAATGGCTGCAACGGTGGTCTCATGGACTATGCATTCGAGTACATTGTTAAAAACGGAGGTCTACGCAAGGAAGAGGATTATCCTTACTCTATGGAAGAAGGAACTTGCGAGATGCAAAAGGTTTTCGTATATGCGAAACAAAATCAAAGATAAACTTAGGAATAATAACAATTAAGTTGGTTCCATTCTAATTATCTCTGTTTTTAAAACAGGATGAATCTGAAACAGTAACCATTGATGGACACCAAGATGTACCTACGAATGATGAGAAGAGCCTTTTGAAGGCATTGGCTCATCAGCCTCTCAGTGTCGCCATTGACGCCTCTGGTAGAGAGTTCCAGTTCTACAGCGGCGTAAGTACATTATAAACCATGAATCAAGAAAATTGTTGTTAGTTAATTGCTCTTGTTGATGTTGAATCACTTTGTATTTGATATATGAAGGGTGTGTTTGATGGGCGGTGCGGGGTTGACCTGGACCACGGTGTGGCTGCGGTTGGGTATGGATCAAGCAAGGGTTCAGATTACATAATTGTGAAGAATTCTTGGGGACCAAAATGGGGAGAGAAAGGTTACATCAGGCTGAAGAGGAACACTGGGAAACCAGAGGGTCTCTGTGGAATCAACAAGATGGCTTCTTTCCCCACCAAAACTAAGTGATCATCAGATCATTCTCTCTTATCTGCATTTGATCATCATCTTCATAACATCGATATGAATATTTTCGTCATTAAACTACAGTGTCTTCGTTTTTTCTCTTTTGATGTAAGTCTTGTAACAACTATGTGCAATAATACCTATATATAAGTAGCAGAGAATAATTAACAAATTTCTTGTACCAAACCAAGAAGAAAAACAGGCAGAGAATATTAAAAATGATGATTGAAGAAAAGAATAGAGCATTAACTGAAGAAAAACAAAGGAAGAGTTGGTTAAATAGTTTCTTGGGGAAGAAATAATTGAAAAAAACAGAGCAATCTTTAGATTGAACAGTTTATAGGTTAATAAAGTAACTGAAAAAACAGAGGAAACATAGATTAAACAGCTTCTTGGGGAAGAAGCAATTGAAACAAAATATAGACGAACTCTAGGAGAGATTAGCAGAAATAAACAATGAATGTGGCTCCCTTTGTATGAACTTGAATTGATTATGTGTTCGATATCATTGATCATGACTGAAGCAAAGTGCTGGCCGAGGATTGCCCGTCAACAATCTGTGGCTCAACTTCGATCTCATCATTGTTATCTTGTTCATGCTCGTTCTCCTCTAACGATCTTCCCATAGTTTCCTTAGTGAAGAAATACGTCACAAAGATTCCGGCAATACAAACGCCACCAAGAATCAAGAAAGCAACTCTCATACGGTTCACTTCGGTATAAACCTGGTTTTTATCATCGCCTTCCATCTTCTTGGTAGCCCACAAGAACCCAACAGTGCCCACAATAGCCCCAAGCTTACCAGCGGCGCCAGAGATCCCGTGGCAAGTAGACCTAAACCTAGCCGGAAAAAGCTCTGCGGGAATAATAAAAGTTGTAGTGTTGGGACCAAAGTTGCAAAAGAAGAAAATCAAACCGTAGAGAACCATAAAGCCTTTATTATTCTGCTCGTGCTTTGACCAATACCAACTGTACGGAATCCCAGCAACTAAATAAATAACGGCCATGAAGAAAAACCCCATAACTTGGATTTTGACACGACCTATCTTGTCGATGAAGTAAACTGTGAACCAATAACCGGGAATGGTTGAGCAAGCGGCAATGATGGCTCCTAATTCCGCCACTTCGAAGGCTGCATCATAGACGTTTTCTGCGGTGGAGGAAGAAGGTTTGTTGGAGTAGTGACTGAAGATATGGGAGAGGAGGAGGTTGCTTGTGTAGAAGACAATGTCTACTAGGAACCAATTAAAGGAGGCGGCGAAGAGGTCGCGGCCATGGAGACGGAAGAAGCAGCGGGAGAAGAGTTTGTAGGAAGGTGGCGGAGGAGGAGGAGGAGGTGGCTCCGTCGTGGCTTCATCGGAGATATGAGATATTGACATGACTCTTTGCATGTCTTTTGCTGCTTGGACGATATTGTTTTCCACAAGTGCTGTGTATCTGCATGCATCAATATCAATTTTAATTGATAAATATGTGTTACGAAATTAAATCGTTATTTTTTTTATTGACTGTCTTCTTTAGTTTTTTGGAATAACTGGAAGCGTATACGTGTGAGGATTATTTAAATTTGTTGTAATGAAAAGATAAAACTTGATTGATTAGCTGGAGCTGGTAGTATGATAGCTGAGGTATGTGTCAATATTATATCAAAGAATATAATAAAAAAAAAATGTAGTGATAAAAAAAAAAGAAGTAAATATATATGATTGGTGTAGCCATGTAAGGATAAGAGTATATACCACAGAATTATGGTATCTATCCCTCAGAAAGTCAATGATCCTTTCAAGCTAACTACTAATTTGTAACCCTTTCAATAATTGATACCTATAATTATAAGATTAAGATCTAGCTAGTAATATATACCAAAACTAATAATATTGCTTTTAAGGAATCTTATAATATGTGTATGTGTGTATCAGTGTGTGAGATCGGAACGGTCATGTCAATTACTTGAAAAACAATATAACATACAAAATTTTATTTTTATGGGTTGAAATAACATACTATATGCTCCTAAACTAGAGAATCGTTCACATAAACAGAACAAAGGAAACTGCGTGTACGTCAGAAGGACAAATAATGTAATTTTAATTCTATAGGAACGATATAATTAAATCTAGTTGATTTCAAGATTTTTTATTTGGGAAAAATAGCAAATAAATAGTGAGACAAGAACATTGTTTGTGCATTACGTCCTTTATGATTTGTGATTGGTAAAAAATAAAATAAAAGGTTTTGGACGGACCTTGCGGTTTCAGGCATCAGCATTCGCCAATAGAATGTCAATGCAGCAGGAAGAGCACCGATCATAAGTATAAGTCTCCACGCCACGTCGGCTTCTGTCGGAGCCGCCGCATCCACCTCCAAACCACCACCACCGCTCTTAAACGCCACGCAAACAGCCATGGTCACGGCAGAGCTAACCAAAATCCCCAACCCTTGCATGGAGAACACCGCAGCAATAAACGCGCCACGTGTCTTCTTATTAGCAAACTCCGACATAATGGTAGCCGAAAGCGGGTAATCACCACCGATACCCAAACCAAGAATAAACCGGAAAAAACCGAGGCTAACCATAACACAAGACCGACGAGTGGTGCACACGGAAAAGCCACAGCCAAAAGAGCTAAGGATCATAATAATCAAACAAAGTCCGTAGACTCGGCGACGACCGACTCGGTCACCGAGGTAACCGAAGAGGAGTTGACCCGTGGCTGTGCCGAGTAGAGCGATGGCGTAAGAAGTCGAAAGAACCGCCGTGTTGATTGAGTCACCGTTGTAATAAACATGGCTAATCATTTTCAAGACCGGTGCGATGCAGAAAAGATCGTATGCGTCAGTGAATAGACCCATTCCTGCTACTATGATCGCTTTGAAATGGTACCATTGTATTCGAGCTGCATCAAGCGACGACAATACCTTTATCGGCATCGTTTGTTTCTTGATCTGAGATTCCGAATCCAGAGTTTTTTTCGTTTCTTTTATCGAAATTTCGAATTCATGATGAGTGAAACAGAACAACGATCTTTATAAGGATTAATAAGTCTCTTTGTTATTTTCAGTAATTAATTGCTATGAGCATGGAATATGCTTATGATTTGACTCCGAGAAAGACTTGGTCAGTTTGTTTATAAGAGCTTCAATTTTCCTATGTTGTCACATTAAGGCACAACATCATATATTGCTTGAAATTTTCTAGCAATTAGTAACCAAATTAAACCGGTTTTGCATTACTCGGTTCAGTACGGTTTTAATTTCGGTTTAATTCTCTTATTGAGAAGAGTAACTAACAACTAAACAAGTAACAGCAGCAACACACAAACAGTCTTAACGGATTCTCAGTTTGATGAAAATCATTACGAAAACGGATATATAGTTAGCAAAATCATGCAAAATCTATAGAGTCACGTCCAAAAAGTGAAAGATTTGTCCTTGCATGCTGTTTGATTCGCCTTCCTTCTATATATGTCCATTAACATAAAGATTTAGAGAGATCCTAAAATTCTCAACTTGCTCCGGTTTAATTAAGAGTTTTTGTGTCTGATGATGACAGCCTCAAAGATACCATCTGATCGGAAGTTAGGAGATAATAGACGCGGATCAACTGGTCCTGGGAGGTTAAAGCACAGCTTGAATGGTCCAGGAGGACACAGCTTCCGGATATTCATTTCAAAAACCCGAGAATGCCTCTTGATCGTTTTTTCGCCTGTGGTAGTCGATCCCTCAAGTATCACCTTACCATCTGATTCAATCTCGCAGCTGAATTCACCTGCACACAAAAGGACCAAACCAATTCATGTGTTCATCACTTAGACCCGATGTGGCGTATAGAAATAGTTAGATGGGTAACAAAGTATAATTATATACCGTAATCTTTGCGGACACCGGGCAAAGCAACCTGAAAAAAGTAAGCAACTTTGTTGACACCAATGTCGACGACACCAACAGATGTTCCTAGAGTTTCTTTACTGGCTGTTCCGGTAGTTACAACTGATGGTTCTGCATCGCTTTCCTTCATCTCAGGAGGAACAGGTATAGGCTTATCTGTTTTTTCTCGTTCCAAAGAAGTTTCGCCATTCTTGTTTGTTGCCTTTTTTGATGAGTTCTTAAACCGTTTTCTCTTGTATGTCTCACGAAATCTTTCAGGGGTTTTACTTATTCCACAAACAGCATGACCAGTAACTGCTTCTTCTTCCTCGTTCTTTCGCTTGCATGTTTCTCGAGGCTCTACAAATGAATAGTATTCTTGGTCAGAGACAATTCCATTGAATGCCAATTCTCCGTTTCTTGAACAGTCCTGCTTCATTTCCTGGCTTTCTGGTAAGTCTCCCAAAAGTCTTTCTGGTTCACTGATTACGCAACTAGCAACCGCTTCTTCCCCTTTCTTTTTCTTGCACGTTTCTTGAAGCTCTCCAGATGAATTGTAGTCTTCGTTACGTACAAGTCCATTAGCTGTTGTCGCTTCCCCATTTCTTGAATAGTCCAGCTCTGTTTCCCGGCTTTCATCCAGCTTCACACCCCGAGGAGATAAAGACACGACTCTATCGATTTTCAGGTCGTCCAAACGCGACAAGTATCTGAATCTTTGGAGTTCCTCCTTGTTTATGAATGCAACTGCAGGATCATCAATAACAACAATTCCTTTCACAATCTCATGGCTCGGGGAATACCTTTTCTGCGGGTGAAGGTTCGTCGGGAAAAAATGCGTGAACTGAGGAAATTTTCCACTTGGTTCCAAAGGTAGGTATCCCTTGAGATACATATAAATCATGTCTGGATGGAGAACAAGGCTGGACTTTGCATATTTCAGTACATTATAGTACAAGTTCTGCAGCTGCGCAACAGTTAAAGAGGAAGATCCAATGTGCATCAAAGTGTAAGGTGGTGAACCTTTGGCTAATCTTTGAGAAGCTGAACATCTTGGGTTATCCGAATACACATCAGGACCCAAGTAATTGCTCATGATGAAATTCACCAAGAAATACTGATCGCTCGATAAACCATCGCTACACAGACTCATGGTTTCAATTCCAAACAAAAGGACCTGCATTACATATGAATGTGGAAACAGTGTCACATATGGAAGCAATAAGGACATTCTCAAATTTGCCAGATTTAGTCATAGATTCTTAAGTTTAACCATTCTCTAACAATAAATTTAGTCTCCATAATGTTTTGTGTTATAACTATACTAAGGAGAAAACATCTTCAAACCCTAAAAACTTCACTTATTAACATCAAAATCTAAACCTGATAAGATTATGTTGAAATTCTGAGAAAGATTAAAACTTTGCTTCATATATAGACTTCACATTACAAAAACAGTCCAATTTTACCCAGAGAAATATGATAATCGAACAAATTTTCACTAGTTAGTTCAAAGTCAACAAATTTTTCTTAAATCTAAAGGTCACTACGCTTGAAGACGACACTCTTTGTACTTTTTACAGCAAAAATCGATCCCACATTGTCTGCAATAAAAACTAAACCACAGAATAGGGATTATGCCAATTTCAACCTTACAAGTCCAGCGATTGTGAAAATTCAAGCAACATTCATGGGGAAAAAACGAGAAGATATCAGAAACTGAAACATGAGAGAAAATGATCAGTGACGGGATTTTACCTTGTGGAGATGTTTTAAGCATAAGGAGGAGAAGAGAGATTTGTGTGCAAGAAGAGGGAAGGAAGCGAGAAAGAAATTGTTGGTGTAAAGGGGAAAAATGCAAAAGAGGATGGAGGTCCTTGCTTCTTACACGTGGCTACCACGTGGGTCCCTCAAATAACCGCATTTGTAGGTATCGCTTGTCACCTGGCTCACCACGTGCCGTCTTGTTTTCGCATTTTTGGGCTTTTTTAAAGTGTAAGGCCCAAATGTTTTTTTTTTTTGGTCTTTTATTCTTTTTCTTTTTCATTTGTTAAAAGATTATTCTTTTAAGGTGTTTAAAAAAATTACTCCATTTATATCAAAAATAATGATTTTTAAGTTTTTATTCTTATATATCAAAAAATGATTTTCTGTAGTATATTTAATACATTTTTATTTTCAATATCAATTGATTTGAGTAAATGGAGTAAAAAGCAGTTTGAAATTAACTTTTTAAAAGATATAACACAAAAATAATTAATAAATGTACATCATTTATTGTTTTCTTAATCTTGATGATAAACCTCAAAATTTATTCTTTATGATACAAATAGAGTATAAAAAATATATTAAAATTTGTTTATCAAATTGTGTATAATAGTTATGTTAAAGCCAGAAGAGCTCATTGTAGAATGTTAGCTCACCAGACACTCATAACTGATAGTAACAAAGATGGAATTTTGAAAGGTCTTGATACATTTGGGCTTCAAATTATTACAAATTTCTCTAGAATTTTATTCTGATTTAGAAGATGTTCAAATGAACATTGAAGCAAACTTGGCCAATTTTATTGGTGAACTTGCTAAAAAAATTCACAGAAGATGCAATGTGAATGACCTGTCTGCCACGATTACTAGGCTTTGGTGTCGCAGTGTTATTAGTGAAATCATTGGCATGATCAGAAATCTTCAGATAGCATTGGTTCAACTAGCTTCGAGGAACAAAACTTTGATCGTTGCTAGTTATACTATTAATCTTCAAAAGTTTGTTTCACTCGCACGTCTTTTAAACCTATGTAGAAAATTTGAAAAAAAGTATATTAATTTTGTTTTGAAAATTTTAGATATTTAAATTTTTGTACTTTTCTTAAGTCAAATAATAATTATTTTAATAAAATCCAATAAAGTGATACTAAAGTTTTTTTCTTGTAAAATTGCTAAAGAACACATAATTAAAAAAAAATTTATTAAAATTTGAGATAAGTGATGGATTTAGTTATTTCTCAGAAAAATATAGTTTTTGTGGGACAATTTTGTAACAGACGTTTTGCAAATTTGTTAGCAAACGAAGGGGCCTAGGTATTTTCAAAATCAGCTGTGGTAAATGAATAGAAAATGAGAAAATGAGAAGAAGTGGTAGGAAAATGGGAACATTAAATACACCGATGTAATTCTATTAATCTGGTTGGTTCATTGTTTGTGTTGACTAAACTATTTCTAGATTCAGTTTTGTTGGCATCAAAACATCGTTACTATGTCACTACCTCATAATGTAATTTTAGTTATGTGTTGATATCAAAAATTTTAATTTGATGGATCCAAGAAAGAAAGGTAAATACCTCGACCCCAAAAAATGGGACTCTTAAAGAGTTTTCTCATGAGAAATGAATAGAAAACAGTAGCATGTAAATAATTACATATATCTCTTTTTCTTAACAAAAGTTTATATGACGATGGATTTAAGTAAAAACACCAATCTTACATCTCGAAAACAAGTAGTAAACGAAGTGATAAACAGAGGAATCAGAGCAGAAGATGGGAGTCATAGACAGAAAACAATTAAGAAGAACAATTTATGAGTCTAAAAAGTAGAAACTGTACAGACAGAGAAAAGATAAGAATCCTGGAGCTAAAATATATCCACAGACAAAGAAGCTAAAGTGAACTCCATAGTCATTAATTTTTTACTTACAATGCAGAGGACTCGACTTGAGAGGACATAAAAGTCTACCTAATAATCTTACCAACACTCCTACGCCTTGAGAAAGTGTGTAGTAAGAAGACTACTTTAACCACATAAAAGAATCAGATTTTGATTCCACCATTCTATATGCATCTGTATGTGTTTATGAGTTTATCTATTTATATATTCACTTTCTTTGTACACCAAACTTATTCCTACCGGTTTACCGCGAAAACCCTTGTTTCCGGGGTGAAACCATTCATATAGTTTATGCCATCAAGCTTGTTGTGGGCTATATACATATGATGAGAGGGTTAAAGACAACAAAAGCACAAACACCTGAAACTTCCATTCTCCTTTCCCCCTTTTTTGACTTCTTCAGTGAGCAAGACTACTTAATACCTGTAACAATGGTAATGAGGTGAGATTGAAAACATTTGCAAGTGCTGAAACTTAAAGGGGTACCTAAGGAAACAAGCTTACCTCTCTAGAATGTAAATAAAAATAATGTGCAAAGTTTAAACAGGAATCCTGCCCGAGTAGCATTTGTCCCTTTTCTGCAGTCTTCAAGGATTAATAACTGAAACCCCACAAATAACAATGAGGTGGTGTAAGTGCGTATTAACCCCAATCCAATTTGGACAATCAAAATGAATCCAAGAATATGCTTATGTTGATCCATTTTTCACCCTGTTGTTTGATCAGAACCGCTACTCTGCATATACTGAGGAGGAGTCTGGACAATGATACGTTGCTGCATTGGAGTTGAAGCCGAAGGGTATGGAGATTGAATAGCAGCCATAGGTGAAGTTGCACCAAGCTGTAGAACATGACTTCCTGGATGTGAATAACCTTGAACCGCTGTATAACCGTGACCACCAGGAATAGTCTGACTATATTGCCCATATTGATAACCCGGTGAGTTAACTGCCCCAGGTACTCCATAAACCTGAAGGTACTGTTGACCCATGTAAGGACCATAGAAGCCCTACAACACCATGAAGAGAAGACATGAGTTTATAACTGAAGTCATAAAAGTTTAAAATGCATAAAGAAGGCAAGAAGAAACTGCAACAATTTCAAACGCCTACCTGAGACTGTGAGTACATGTAGTCAGGTCCATATGGTGTAACCCTGAAAGAACACCAAAAAGAACAACTAATATTAGAGACATATGAGCAAAGTTTAGGCTAGACACTATTATTAGAGAAGAAGAGTAGCAATTATACAGAAACAGCTAGAATACATTACACTATGAAAAGAAGATGCTAAGCTAGGGGAAAAAAGTCTAAAATTCCACTCCAAAATGTCTATTCCAAGAATCTAGATAATTTTGGCACTATCAAAGTCCAAAAACATTCATGACCTTGCCTGTCCAAAACAAATTGAGCTCGGCCACATATCCTCTGCAGTTATATTTTTGTATTCCTGCAAGTTACCAATCACAACATGTCACATCATAGTGCTACACTCAAGATCCCTAAGTGGCTAAGTGATTGTCCATGTTGTGATTGAAAAATGCCACTTGATCAAAGTGGCTGTTAGATGGACTAGCAGGTAGACATTAAAACTGATACGCTCGTCACAGCATGTCTGTTATAGCAGATATACAATCGCAACGCAAGTTTCTGAGCATTAAATTGCGTAACTCACCCATAAGGGTACACCACTCCTTGTTGGTAGTTATAAGCAGGTGGCTGGTGATACGGATGGCTTCCAAAAAGTGAACCGCGAGGACTCTGCACACTTCCAAGATATGGGGAAACAGGTCTTATCCGTCCTAACCAAAAAAAGAAACAATGCAATGAGTTAAAGGTTTACACGTTAACAGCAATCCATTGAAAAATTGAATACTTCACCAAAATTATAAAGGTCTCTGTAAGTAGTGCGAAGAAAAGGAATAGATGAATACTGAAGTAAGACTGACCAGGAACATGGGGTATCACTGCATATTGCATTGGAAGCCGAGGCCTCCCAAGAGAAGCGAGATTACAATTCGCTCGTCTGCCATCTATAATAGGTGCTGGGTCGACACATGCTCTCCTAGCAGCCTCTGGATCTCGGAAAGTCACCTAAATCCTCCATACAAACCATAAATATAGCGGTTAGTCAGTCTACAACCATGAACATATAAAATCAAACGAATGAAAGGGACTCCTATGGTTAGCAAAGATGGACAGAAGTTTCATCAAAACCAGCATTTCGAGTTCAAGTGCTTTTTGTTTATTTAAAGAGCTAGGAATCCTAAGTCAAGCAGATCATTTACCAAATTACCAAAAGTGTCACTACAATTATGAGTCTAGAGGAACATTTAGTACCCAAACATACCTAAGCATAACACGGAAGCAGAAAATGTTTATTACAAGCAGCAATAAACCAACTTCAGAAAATAGAAACCAAAGAATGAACAAAATTAGAATACTCACAAAGCCGTAACCTTTGGATCGACCGGTGTTCTTATCAGTAATCACAACCGCCTCAAGGATATCACCATATTGTTCGAAATGCCGACGAAGAGTCTCGCTTTGAGTCTCCCAGGCAAGGCCACCCACAAAGACTTTAGTAAAGGTTGTATCACCAAAAGGAGAGTTCAAGTAATGAAACCCAGAGCTCGGAATCGAATGATACGCCATGAATTAGAACCAAAGACTGAAACTTTTTTTGACGAGAAGATGAAGAAGTATGGACCTTTGACTTGACCCAGTAAACCCTAGAGATAGATTGAATGAGTAAACCTGAAGATGAAGATACAGAACACCATCGAATTGAAAGAGGAGATTCTAGGGTTTACAAGGGTCTGCGAAGAGAATAAGGAGAGAAACAGAAAAAGCGAGATCGGCCCCAAAGAAACCTAATAAAGGATCATACTTGACATTTTGACAAGTAAATGATCATGAAAAAAAAAAGAGAGAGAAAATTTCCCGGGAAAAAAAACAGAAAAAAAAAAGAAGTTAGGAGGGGAAAAAGGGTTTAAAAATTAAAACTTTGAAAGATGGGCCACGGAAGAAGAGAAGAGTCGGCGCCGGTAGGTACAAGTATGGGTCTAGGGTTTCTCAATTGGTGATTGCGACGAATAGTGAACAGAAACGAGAGAGACGATTCGGAGACGAATTCGAATCAAGCGTTGGTTAAATGGGGAAGAGAGAAAGATGGACGAATTAGAGTGGTTTCAGGGATTTAGATAAAGAGGAAGAAGGGGAAAAGGGAAGGATTTGTTCATGGAAGTTTTAACATTGATGAAGAAGAAGGAGAAGTTGGTGATGACGAGGACGATGAAGCGTGATTTTATGATTCATGAATTCTTCGAGAGAGAGAGAAAACAAAAAAAAAAGGAGTTGTTCTTCACCCTCATAAAAATGGGTCCCGCTTTCATCTAATTTATATGCCTAACGCTGTAATCAAATTATAAGCAAATTGTGATTATGTCCGAATTCTATAGTTTTTTTTTAATCATATTTAGCGGATTACTGCCGGGAAATTAACTGTTATTTAATGAATTTTTTTTTATTTTCATTGATTCTTTACCTCTGTTCTTTTAGTTTACTCCCAATTCCCAAAAGATAATAATACGGTGTACATTCATCTTGTGGAATGTTTGGATAGAAACGCAAATGGATAAGCGTTAATAGACCATCGATCTACTACTAAGTACTAACTATATATATACAATACAAATCACTCGAAAACATGTAGACTTATTTACTCCTCTTTGCTCTATTTTGCATCGAAATGGCCCTGAAAAGCATGGTGTGGTAAAGTAAGGTAAGGTATATGAATAAGACAATGGACATGTAAGAACTAAAAATCATACAAAATTAGATGAACAAACATCATAAAGTGAACAGAGTAACAAAAGAAAGATGTGATAAAACTGTATTAGCTATTAACCATGCTTCTTCTTAACGATCACGATCTACATCTTTGATTAGAAGATAAGATGGGAGAAACCGGGGAAGAATCAACGCGACCACCAGACACAACACTACTAAAACCACCACTGACCAGCTTGAGTAAGGGATGCCTAAGAGCTGTTCTTCACAAACTGTCACCATGAGAATTTCAGACTTTAGAAGAAGCACTACACTCACTACAAGTGTAAGCAAAAACAAAAGAAGCTTGCCTATGTTATAAATGATAGACGCCCGTTCTTTGGAATTTGGTATAGCCACGATTCCTTCAGGTTCCACAGTCACCAAAACATACAATCCGTCCTATAATCAGAAACAAAAAAAAAGACTCATGAACTTGTATTCGTGCCTCTTTCCAAGTTGTAGGAACTGATTGAAGATGATAGCAATACCTCGTTATCAACTTCTTCAAGACTTTCCGTTTTGAAGATCAACTTCTCAGTGTTTAGCAATCTCCTCATATGGTTAAGCTTCAAACCCATTACACCGTTCTTTAGTAGTTGCAGCGTAAACAAAGCCGGTATCTGTTATCATAACCAAGATCAGATTTTCAACAAGCACAAGAAGAAACATGGAAACATAAGTAAGAACAATATAACACATTTGACATACAGAAGCTGGGTACGATATCTTGACTTCATACCAAGAATTTGACTTCAGCTCTTGTAATTTGTAAACTCGAGATCCAGATTTCAATGGCAGAGTCTCCTTCCATAGTTCCTTCCCAGCATATAAAATTTTTCCATCAAACCTAAGATATATATAACATCATTTCTACAGTACCAATAAAGAATCCAAATTGATGATTTTGAGGATAATGTGAGGTTTTTCAACAACACTTACAGTCTCTCATCGCTGTAACAAGGCACAAAATTTATGAAGACGAGAAGACAGATGAGAAAGTAGCATTCTTTGTAGTGTAAATCGAGCATCCTAAGAGTCCTGAAACAATCCCTAAAGAAGATGTCAATTTGATGAATCGGTTAAAGTAAAAGCTTGAAGCAATCTCGGCATTTTTTTTCTCAGCAACGGAACACAGAAATAACAGAAGATGGAAAACGCGCGAAATCGATTCACTTACCAGAGATCAGTCTCTCGCCGGAGATGACAGTTTCTATGCGACACTTGGCTCGGCGAATACGATTCCGGCGACTTCGGAGAAAGACTCAAAATCGTTGTCGACGATCGATAGTGAGATTTGGGCCTTTCATAATTAATTGGGCTAATTTAAGGCCCAATTTAATATACTTAGCTTGTAGACAAAGTGAAAGTGACAGCGGATCATGACCGTCCACGTCACTCTTACGAGAATCAGGACAGAAACTGTCTACACGTGGTCAGATCTCCACGTCGTGATATCTACGTGGCGAGTTCTAAGAATATTTTGTCCTGTCTTGGTGTAGGGTCCGCTTTATGGGCCCGAAGGCCTTCGACACTAACTCAGAAAGTCCAAAACAGTCAGGTAAACATGTGGGCTCCTTTACAAACCAAATTGGCAATTTGCCCATGTTGCTTCCTTCTTAAATAGTTAATTCTATTCAATATATCACCTTTATTTTTATTTTTATTATCTTACGTCAATAAATCACTTTTAATTTTCACTATATACAAATTACAATATTTAATCCAAAAATGATTTTTAACACTTTTTAGTTTGATAGGTTTTCTCCACAAACTGACTAGAAAAACAATAAAAGAGGCATTTTTTCGAAAAGACACTTGGTTTTGTTTTATTCTCCGGCTTTATAATTTATAAAATAATTTTAAAAGTGGTGGATGGGGTGGTGGTAGATCACAAGTCGCCAAAGATGTGAGAATGGCATTGGGCATTATCGAAAAAGTTGACCCGTAATTTCTGATGGATCACACTACTTTTGAGTTTATTTATAAAAAATATAGTGAAGAGTCTGGCGACCACTAATTATAATTGATTTTTTACTAGTTCCTGTTAACTTGTGAGCATCATTACATTGGTAAAAAAATATTATTATACACAAATTAATTTTATAGTAACATAGGTATATATTTGGGAAACCAAGTTCTCCAGATTGATAGGAGCAATAAAATACAGATTTCATCCTATTAGAGTTATCTATGTAGAATAAAATGTCAAGTCAAAGTCGTAAGAGTTAAATAATCATATATAGCTTAAATGCTTAATAAAATATAGAGAAAATATAAGAGTCGATGACCACAAAACACTATGATTTAAGGATATGACCATGTAATTATTGATCTATAGAACAAATTTAGTTACAGTCTATTATATATTAGTTATATAGATTGACGAATACTTAGTTAGGTTTACATATTTTTTTGAACTAATGGTAACATATTTAAATTTGGTTTGGACTAATAACATATTTTCCAAATGATAACATAGTGATGATGTTTCACAAACCATTAAATTATATGTCGTGCTCTACTTAGATTCTCATATTAATTTTTCGAGGAATGTAGATTTATTATTATAAATTCATATCATACGATATACTATATGCAACCGCAATACTGTAGATAATTTCGTAGGTCAACGAAATCAAATCGATTTTTTTTTTAGGATAAAAAAACAAAAGAATACATAAAATGAGGTACCATTTTAGAATTAAGTGAATAGAGGAAATTTTGACAATAAGATCCGTCCACTTCATCAAATGGCCAATCTTTTTTTTTTTTTTTTTTGCCATATATTTAGTGCCATATATTTACTAAAGCAATTCACTCTAATAATATGCAACTCATCTTTACGTATTTCTTCTTGTACAAGAAAACATGCGGGACATGTTAGATTTCGTGCGACAAACTAATTAAAAAGTATGATTTGATTGACAATTTGATATAAAGAACTCGATTAGACATGTTGATTGTTTTCTTACTAAGGACTTTAGAGCATGATTAACAATTGTATCTTAAAAATGGTTTTCAGAAATATTAAAGTAATAATATAACATGTGGTTGGTTCTTAAGGTTAGTTTTGGGTCTTAGCTAAGCCACTTTTCTTAGTTTTGGGTCTTAGCTAAGCTACATTTCTTACTTAAGAACTCTTTAAAATACCCTTGTTAATGGTGATCTTATGCATCCATAAATTCATATTATCAACTATCAATGAACAATATTTTAAAAAGTATGATAGTAAATTTAATCATGATAGTCAACTATCTAATTTCAGTTTTTAATTTTATCAAAAATTCGATGTATTAGTTATAATTTTAAATATAATTTAATATTACATTCAGAAAATAAATCATTATAGTTAACAATCGGTTGGAGAGTTTTTAGAGAAAATATATCAAATTTTGAGTTAGAAAATCACTATAATACATGTTTGTTTGTTTTTTGTGTGAAAATAATACATGTGTTTTGTATTTGGTTTAAGAAAGCCACGAAATAGTTTAACCAAAACTTTTTAACTAACGTACATAAAATTAATGTGAACTGAGATTTCAAGACTAGCTAACATTTTTTCCATTTTATACAGCGAACTCATTGCTTAAGCTTTAAAAACAAAAAAAAAAACATATTTTAAAGGTACCGTAGAGATTAGAATCGATACGTGATTTTTGTTTTTATATAAACGATATGGATGACGTTAACGTTACTATCTCAAATTATATATATATATATGTATGTATGTATCTGCCTCGTGGTATTTTGATTGATAAGGAAATAAAGAGAAATAAGCATACTGATTGATGGGTATCCCTAAACATCACAATCTTTTACCATATTAATGTGATGAACAATAACAGCTACAACATCATCAAGAGATCAATTAAGTAGTAAGAGGACAATGGGAGAATTGAATGAACCTGAACCAAATTGATAGAAACCTTTCTTTAAACCTTTCTTTAGTGTTGTTCAAACCTCACGTATATATCTACTGCATCCTTACGATATTTTGATCGCTGACAAAAAAAATGTTTTGATCAGTATGTGTGTTTGTCGGAATAATTATAACTGATTTATTCCATGTTTGGTAAATATTTACGAATACCAAAAACTTAACTTATAGACAAATGCATTTGCGGTTAGTTATAAGTTTTAACATTAAATTCCACGCGACAATAACTGGACGTATCGATTCAATAATATATATATATATATATTCTTTATAAATTAGAGTGAAATGGGTTCATGATCTAGATGAGTAGCGTAAGAACATAGGACAGCCACATATTTAGACTTACATAATGTGCTTAATTTGGCGTTCTCTCGCTTAAAATTAAATTATATGTACACTTCCCACTTATTTTCTAAGTTTGTCGATGATAGACCGTAGACGTTCCACAATCCACACATTTCGGTTTTCGATTTACATATGACGTATCAATTAAAAAAGAAGAAGAGTTGGACCAGTTTAGAGTTTCCGATGTTTAAAATACTCAAAAACAAAAGTTCACGTACGTTTTTGCTTTTAAGAATTAGAAATACGGGCAAAAGAAACGAAAGTAAGTTTGATAGATTCGGGAGAAGGGCTGTGATTGGATAAGGTATTGACTGAGCAAGTACCGATGATTCCGACCGCCTCCACGTGGTCACACAGCTTGGCTTTCACTTTCATGCTCTGACCTTTTGACCGCACGTGACTTTTGTCTGTGCACGTGCGGACCAAGCTAACGTGTCCGGTTCAAGTACATTGCACCGAGCCCTGACTCGCCAGGTTACGCCGATGAAAACGACGGTTCATGGGTCCCGCATGCCATGAGGATGGACGGTTCCGATCCATTTCCTACTTTCCTACTGAGTTTCGGTCCCACATAGTTCAGGCCACATGCGTCCACGTTGAGGGAGCTTCGGTGTTACTATATGGGTGCAGTTAAAAATTAAGACAACCAGTCACGGTCCGATATAAGGTCATGCATTAATGGGTCGGATCGAGTTTAGCCAGTTCAATAAATTAATATGCAATTATTTGAATGGATTGATGCAATTGGTAAGTATTTTTGGGATTAATTATCGTTTTTTCCCAAACAATTTTTGTAAATTAAAAGTTTGATATAATTTGTATGAAGATACTTCTAATTAGTAATACACCAAATTCGACCTAAGGTAAAAAGAAAGGTGAAGAACTAATCAATTATTTTTTAGAATATAAAATAGTAGTATCAACTAATTTGACATTGTGATAATTATTAGCTAGTCTTCCACATTAATGGATCATTAACTTTCTCCAAACTTATCATCAAAAAGGGTCCACTCGTTTTACGATATTTAAAGGAATATACACAGATCTCAGTATAATAACGGACCATTACCTAGATTGATCATTGTTCTTTGTTATGCGGCTAAGACCATGATTATTGGTAGGTTTTAAACCAAATTTTAAGTAAATCTTAAGTATTAAAAAGTATTTAATTAAATGGCAACTGGTAAGATTGGTAAGAAAGGTTTCTTAGCTAAAAACCAAAACATGTTTGTAAGAGATAAATTTTAAGATTTTAATACTAAAAAATTACTAAGAGCTATTGTTAAAAAACCCTTGATAATCATACACTTATTTTCTAAAGTAGATATAAATAAATATCAGATGCAACAAGTGGGAAACTTTACTAAGAACATTGATTCTTTGATATCTAATTAGCTCGGGTTTAGCAAGATAATTTAGTAACAACAAACACACAGACATAGATAAAGCAAAGTTAAATCAATTATTGTTCTGCAACGCTTAAAAGTGACTAATTCTCTTTTTTTTTTTATATAGTAAAGATTGTTCGTATCCGTTTGTTTATTAAAGAACGTGGGTTCTTCTTAGAAAATTGTCTTTGCTAACCATATACTATTTATTTATTTTAAATTATTATACATTTTACCAGATTAGTTGACAAAAATAGTAATAATATACTATATACAGTAAAACCTCTATAAATTAATAATGTTGGGACCATGATAATTTATTAATTTATAGTGATATTAATTTATAGTGTAAATTAATATTTATTAATTTATAGAGAGTTTTTGTTTTTAATTTTTAAAACTTTTTTTAAAAATATGAGAAAAAATAATTTGATCTAAATAAAAGACTAAAAGTAATGTTTTGGATGCTATAACTTTGGTAATTTTAGACTTGAATATTTAATATTTAGAAGAAAGACAAAATTTTTTAAACAATAATAACTAAGATTATAGATAAATTCACGTATACAAAAAATATGTAACATAGTGACTTCAACTGTTGTATTTGAACGGCCTATACGATTATT